TCGAACCCGTGGGTTCAGGCAATCCACTCACCTCAGCCTCCCAAAGGCGCGGGATTACAGGCTGAGCCACCGAGCCTGGCTTCTTTCTTTTTTTTTAAAGAGACAACGAAGATCAGTTAAGAAACAATACTAAGAAATGAAAAATTTCCAATGCACTCAGCAGTAACTTGGCAGAAATAAGTCAAAATGCTGGCCGGGCACGGTGGCTCAGCCTGTAATCCCAGCATATTGGGAGGCCAAGGCAAGAGGACTGCCTGAGCTCAGGGGTTCAAGACCAGCCTGTGCAACTTGGTGAGACCTCATCTCTACAATAAATCAAAAAATTAGCTGGGTGAGTAGCACGTGCCTGTAGTTTCAGCTACTTGGAAGGCTGAGGTGGAAGGATCGCCTGAACCCAGTAGGTCAAGGCTGCGGTGGCCATTAAGCGTGCCAATGCACTCCAGCCTGGGCAACAGAGTGAGACTCCAACTCAAAAAAAAAAAAGTCAAAATGTTCTTATTTGCCACAACTGCTGAAACAACTTTACTTGGAGGATGTGGCTACACCTGCTCTTGAATAAAAACCATTTTCAACGCCTTTTTGTTTAAAAAGTTTTCAAAAGAAAATGAGAGTTCAGCTCTCCTCTGGATGAAATGTCCTGCCTTGTCCCCACTCTAGCAGTGGACTCTATCACTTTACTCTGCTTTCATTTCTTCATATCACATAGACTCCCATAATTTTGGTTTCTTATCCTACTCTTCTACTAGAGCAGGTTTCACAAGAGCTGAGATCTTGTCTGTTCTGTTTACCGTGGTTTCACTGTGCTTAGATCACTATTGACACCCAGCAGACAGTTCATCAATATGTGCTGACTGTAAAATGACCCCTAGGAGAAGGGACATGGAATGTGCTATCTGTGTCTTTGCATTTGTCCCTGGGGTCCTGGAAGGCACTAAGTCATTGCTGAGCTCAAGTCCCTCCCCTGGTTAGAGGAAACCTCTGCTAGGTACCTTTATTCTCGGAAAATTCAAAGTATCAGCCTCCAGAACTTACTCCCAACTCACTCTTATAAACTAAATGCACAAAAACAAGCTTGTCACAACAGTGTGTGATCACACACACACACACACACACACACACACACACACTCCTACTTTTTCCTTAGGTTCTATTCACTTTGGATTACTGACCATTTTAGGAACGTCTCCTGTGTTTAAAACTTAGCTTCTGTAGTTCCCTTCAGATAATATCTATCATTTGCCTAGTATTTTTAATAATACATAGCATCTTCAACATAGAATATCTCACAGAATCATCTAAACTTTTCTGAAGTAAAGAGTGGTATGTCTAATTTGCCAATGCAGAAATTAATGGTAATAAAGTTTAAGCCAGGCAGTGGTGGTTCATGCCTGTAATCCCGGCACTGTGTAAGGCTAAGGCGGGAGAACAGCTTGAGGTCAGGAGTTTGAGACCAGCCTGGGCAACACAGTCAGACTCTGTTACTACAACAAAATTAGAAAAAAAAATTAGCTGGCTATTGTGGTGCATGCTGATAGTCCCAGCTATTCAGAAGACTGAAGAGGAAGGATTGCTTGAGCCTAGGAGTTACAGGTTGTAGTAAGTTATGATCACACCACTGTACTCCAGTGTAGATTAAATTATTTTATTAAAAAATAAAAATAAAGTTTAGTAAACTCATTTAAGTTCATCAGTCAACTGATACAAACTCCTTGCCTTTCCATTGTACCACTGATCAAAGTCTGATCATTTGAAGCTCAGATCAAATACCACTTCCTCCATGAAGTGTTTCAGATAACACAAAGCTTCATCTCTTCTTTTTTTTAGGACTTCTTAGCTTTATTGGTCCTTTACTAGCATAGCAAAATTATTCTCCTCATATTACTTCTATTTCTGTATCTCTCTCCCCTGGATCATGAATTCTTTACTATAAAGAACTGTGTATTTTTCATCTTTGTATTCTCCTCAGTATTGAGTGGGAGCATAACAAAAGCTCTCTTAATGTGACTGGGCTAGAGACAAATGTGTAGAGCTGGAGACACATGAATGGTATTTAAAGCCTTTACCCCCACCTTCTGTGTGCTCTGGAGTTTTATTTTTAT